GATCTTAACCCCAGCCTTAAACCCCACTTTTCTCACCATAACTATTTGAGGAAGTTGTCGGTTTTGCTGCCGTACCTGGTTCTGGGACCGTTTTGAGGCGGTTCCAATGGCCCAAAGCACGAGAAAGGAAACACGACCGGTGACCATGATGCTGCTGATGCTCGCGTACGGCGGGCGGGCGGGGGTGTTTGAAGGGCAGGGGGGAAGGGGCGAGAATCGGAGCGGCGACGGCCATGCCGGCCCGTGCCGCCAGGCCCTACAATATTACTACTGTTACTCCTTTTTCTGCTATTGTTACTATTACTACTATTCCTACTATTCCTACTATTACTACCATTGCTACTATTACTATCATTACTACGATTAGTACTATTACTACTATTACTTCTATTGAAATTACTACTGTTACTACGAACCCCAGACACGGCCAGGGGTTTACTATTCCCACCCCGCAACCCAGACCCTGCCCCAAGGGACCCCCAGTGCAAAACAACCTCAGTGGGGGGTTTACTGCACTAGTACAACTCCCACATGACCCGTCGATGTCTGACTGCTTAAGCTCGTGGATCTCGGCTTCATCTGCCTAGTCCTCCACGGCAACCCATTTTTGCATTGACTTGACCTCATGGGCCCGGGGCCACATAGTTGGGCTTGCCTGGAGTACCCACGCCACGGGAGGCATGGCAATGCGCGTGACATTGAGATGGCACCGTTCCCTAGACCCCTTCAGCCGCTCGCCAAACCGCTTCATCAAAATCAAAATCATCAAGACCCACCCAAGCAAGGGCACCGGCAATATCTGTGATTGCCACGATAGAAACTCAGGCCATCAACTGCAAGCTTCCTTCCTAGGACCCGAGGGTACACTATGGTCCACAAATCGGGGACGCATGCAGTAATGACCCAATCACTCGGTTGTCATTTTTATGCACTTCGTGCAACACACTACAAATTCGCTGGGCACTTGGAGGCTGCAGCTCTTACAGTGTTTCGGGCAGTCAGATTTGCAAAGCTGTCGCGAGGCATACAACTTTGCCAGAAAGGCGTCTCAGCCTCCATTAACGAAATGAATCCACGACTCAATCTGTGGTATGTTCGACAACTAGACCTGTTACAAACTCAAGAAACCAAGGAGGGCAACCTGATCGAACATTTAGTAATACGTCTTTTAGTCTAACAGTCTAACCGTCTTAACCCAGTGCTACTCATGTCTGAAACTGTCAATTCCAAACTTTTCCGCTCCCCACTCTTTAGCAGACAAGCCGGCTGATGCAAGCTTTCTGGATTCTACAGTGTGAGTTTTGAAGGTTTTCTGCCCTATCCGATTTTTACGGAGAGCTGTGCATGTATGCGCTCCTCCACCGTCTGTCCAAACGGAATCTCGGCAACCGGTAGCCAAGCGTGGAGCTGCAGCAACCTGAGCTGTTGCGCTTAGAGGCCTTCGCACGCCGAAGCCTTCTTGGTGCCGAGGTGCCCTTTGCATCGAGACTCGAACTCCACGTTGAGGCGCTTGTTGGCCACTGACCATGCGGAACGGAGCCGTAGCCTGTAGGTGCTACCTCGCGCAGGCTCTGAGTTTCAGGCATGAGTCCCGCATCGTGCCTGTAGTACCATGAAGACAAGCTTCAACTTGCGTGGAGTAGATATTCCAGCCAGCCCCACTCCGGGGAGCGCCGCGTGACCGGAACCGCGAAAGGCTGGTCGTGCGCCTTGTGAAGCTCCATGGCTCCATGACCGGGACGCTGCAGCAGCCATGAAAGAGCGAGCAAAGCTCCCTGTCTTCGTGGTTGCTTGGTGTTTCTTTTCGAGATGCTCGGACCAACCGAATGGGTTCACGATATCTGTAATATTGACGACTTGCTTTCATACTGTGAGCAAGACTTGATTCGTGCAGTTAAGCAGGCAAGACGCTGAGCCGAATTTAGTTGCGTCACGCTAACACATAAGAGAATAAGACTTGGATTCGACACATGCATACTCCGAGCAAGGAAATCCAGGCCATGCAGGCTGACCAGCCTCGCATACTTCCTGCAGCCACAGCAGTGTAACAACTGGCGAAAAGCTGAAGCCGATCATTTACGCCATTTTCTGCCATGTTTGCTGGACCTGTGGAGGCAACGCCGCAATTGCCTTCCTGAAAGTACAGACAGCAAGTCCGTCGTATGCCGTGCACTGAGCCGACGTCTTGATGAAATTCAGCTGATTGCTGCTGCGGCTCTTGGTCTCCTCCTCTAAAACCGATTCGCCTGTGGAAAGCGACGGGGGTGCTCCAATCTTTGAAGCTGTCACGCCCTAGACGGTCTGTGGCCGCCACGTTCTTTCAAGACATCATTCGCCTTTTGTCGAGGCTGCACGAAATTTGCCATCCTGCCTGCATGTAACCCCCTCGCCGCGTGCCTGCTGGATCAACTCTTCCTTCTCCCGGACTTTGTCATCATCCAAAGCTTCTGCACGTTGAATCAGTGCCTCGCTGTGTCGCCAGATCGGAGCTTGAGTAGAGGGTTACTGCCATGGCAAGTCGTAAGCTTTTGCTACAGTCCCAAGGCAGTTGCAGAGCTTTCTCGCTTCATCTGCGCCAGCCTACAGCAACGGGAAAACTGAAACAAAGAAGAAAAGGTATTGACAACGAGTCGTGCATATGGACTGCAAACCGTGCCATCCTGCATTATGCTGTGCCATGAGTCTCGAGCTTGTCATTCACTTGGATCGGCAGGGGCGGCTTCTTTCGTCGGACATCCTCAATCGGACTGGCAAAAATCGCTTGGGTTTCCGGGGTTTCCAACTCCAAACCCAAGTTGGAGCCTCCCGTATCCGATTTTTCTCCGAAGCCTCGGCTTCTCGCAACATCTCTCAGAGCGGTGTGTGAAGCGCATAACTTCTTCGCCAAAGACAAGAAAGCTCACCGTCCCCGTTCAAGCGAGTGACAATATGTGCTTCACATTCCCGGATGACCTTGCTCAACATGAATAGGGGGCAAGCGAGCTGTCGCGGCGTACGCAGACACCTAAGCCTGCGCCGCACGATCCGAGGGACGAGCAAAGTCCAAATCTCGCATTTGTGTCTTCTCGTACTCACGCTTGAGTTGCTGACACAAACAAGCGTCGGCACAAGCTCGACGCAGGATTGGTTTGCGTGAAGCAAACACAAACCGCACTGACCCTGTAAGCCTCTGCATCGGGATGCTTTGCGAGCTGGTCCTGGCAAAAGGCTGACTGGCATGCGGCGGGAGACAGCACTGACGAGGATGCTCCTGACATGATACCATCCCCCTCTCCATCATCGATGCAAGGTTGTGCAAAAAGAGAACACAATTGGATTCTGTCAAAGACTGGGTCTGTGCAAACATACCCATCTGTCGCATGGGGCATTAAACTCCCTGCATCGGCCTGCCTGCAGACAAAACTAGCAGACTAACTATGTCATCCTCAATCACGGCCCACGTACTGGCCTTCATCAACTCAGAATGGATCCTTGCTGAGCGATAAAGCTTTTCAAGAATGTAGCAATTGCAATGATGCACCCTTCGCCAAGACGGAAGCTTCTCACACACTTTGAACTTGCGCTTCCCACCGAGAATGGACCTGGCTGAAGGCTAGCGGACATCCCCCTGCGGCGCACGTCATCCACCGTGCCATGGGTAAGTCAGCAACGCATCAAGTGGGCATAGTCCAACAAGAAAGGACTTGCACACACTTTCATCTTTGAACCTGGACTGGCACTGCTACGCCATGTTGCATGCACAAAAGCTTCCGAGAACAATGCTTTTCTTTGACCCCTTTGCCCTCCTGCAGGACAGGTTCCGTTTATCGCCAGCGAAATGCAAAAGACAAAGCCCTGCCTTTTCGATCTGGTCACGGCCAGGGCCCATCAAAGCGTCCAGCATGGCCTTGAACATGGAAACCGCTGGCAGAGCCCAAACATGCAAACTCAGCGGGCGCACGCGAGCTTTGTTCATGGTGTCGGCAATAGGGGCGACCTCCTTCACGGGAATAGCTGGCTCCAACACACTTGGCCATCGGATGCGCCGGAAGCGCGCACCATGACTTACCCTATATAGGTGCTCTCCGAAATGCTTGGTCCTAACTGATGTGGAAGCATGGGTCAACCGAAGCTTTATGGGGTGTGCACATGAACACACACACCACACCAGCGGCATGAGAGTTACCTTAGCGAATCATGACCTTGATCCTGCCCAGGCACGAAAAACACTTTCCGACACTATCCTCCCAGAACATGCCGGAACTAAAGTTTCCGACCACGTGACAGGGGCCGCTACAGTGACCACGTATGACAACGTCCTATGCTGCACTGCTTGGCTACATACCGCGCAGTGGCAGCCGGCTCGGCCTGTGGGCGGCCCATGACTGACGACCGCCGCCTTGCCTGAATCTCGCGATCTACAGTTCGACGCCGCTCGGCGGGGACCTGTGTCGTGATGCGACCACATTCGCCTACAGCGCAATCACGACACAACAGGACACCGGACACCAACCCAAACACGAGCGATACTCTGACCGGTGTTGTTTCTATCGTGCCCTAGGTGCGAAAGTCCGCGGTCCCTGTGCTGCAGCATTAACCCGCAGGAACCGGACAGGTGCTCGTGCCGGCACCGCGGGGCAGGCCCTGTGAGTGGTGTGACGGAGATCCACTAGGGCGTACCCCGTTGACAAGGAGATCACCTGGCCGCCTGGCGGAACCAGCTGGAGCGTACGCGCACCCCAAAGCCAAGAGCAAGCCGCCTTTTTTTGTCGAGCCCAAGACGGTGGTGAAGGAGAAGCCTCAAGCCCGTTATCTCCGGGCACCTTTGTGATCCACGACACTCCCACTGCCGAGCATCCTGGGCGGAAGGATTCGCGACCGAGCGAGACCGCCACCGAGAATCAAGAGCATGCGGCCCCCGAGAAGTCCCAGACGAGCTGGGATATCATGTGATTTTTGTCCCACCTTCTTGCAACAAACGACAGGCATTCGGGACGGCGTGAGGCGACTCCCCCCGTCCGGCTTAGCGAACGCGAGGACGTTTTCGAGGGCCGGTTCGTGCCCCGTACCGCTGTAGGGGAACCCCACCCAAGCACTCAGGCAGCCGCACGCAGGCCGGTGTGGCGGTGCCGGACGAGCGCTTGCACCCGGGTTCCAGCAACCCTTTTGTTGCTCATGACAAGATGGCTGGTGCAACCCAAGCAACAAAAATGATGCCACTCACTTGCCAGTACTTGAATGGTTGTTTGAGGCCGTAGACAAGCCGACCGCGCACTAGATTACCTAGGGCATGCGGCTTGCAAGGAGCGGCTCCAGAAAGGAGTCTGCGAGGATGTCGCTCAGCAGCGGGGATTCGCCGTCGACATTAGTTGTGCCGCCGAGGGGCAAGGCGAGAAGGCCTATCCTGATGATGAAAACGTCTTGCAACGAGTCGGATTTCCAGTTCCCCCAACTCCCAAAAGCCTACTGGTGGTAAAAGCTGATGTGAGTGCTCAAGCTGAGGAAAAGCTCGCGAAGCTGGAGTTGTTGCCGAACGCCGTCCTGAGGACAAGGAATTCATCCTGGAGCCTTCGCATGCCTTTCGCGACAGCCTCGATGAGATGTTCCTGGGCCTTTTTCTCGGACCTTTGCGACTGCAAAAATGTGCCACTGCTACGAAAGTCCTTTTTTTCAAAACACCTTTTACGACTAGTCCATGCGGTCCCAATGCAACGAGGGCTCCGGCGGCACAGAGCTCACACACGCCAGGCGGGAGGCAAGGGGAGGCGACTCGGCGGAGTCAGCGAAGACGTCGCTGAGCAAAGGTGACTCGCCCTCAACATACCGCAGCACGTGGACAAGTTGCGAAAGGCTAAGCAGCCCCTGCACTTGCACGAGCTAGTGCTGCTCGAGGAGACCTTGCTTAAAGACCCTGTGGCTGGACAAGCAGCCCCAGCACTTGGACAAGCTGGTGCTGCCCGCAAAAACCCTGCTGAAGCCCCTCTACCTGGACAAGCAGCCCTAGCACTTGGACAAGGTGGTGCTGCTCAAGCTCGTGTACTCCCTGCAGAGGTCTTCCTGCAGATGTCTTGCCGGTGCTGCTGCGGCTGAGACGGGTTCTGTGGCAGGGGACGCAATTGTTGTGGGAGCTGGACGACGTCCTAACGGCGGCGTCGCGCAGGCTGGACCCAGCCGCTGCGAGCAGCCAGGAGAATCCGTTCGACCAGGACTGAAAGAAAAACAAGGGAAGTCCGTTGCTGCCAGCGGCTGCTGCCGCTTGAGCTTCGTCCCCGGCGGCTGCTGCCGCTTGTGTTTGTTCCGGTGGCTGCTGCCGCTTCTGTACTGACAGAACTTCGGGAGATGGGGGGGAAGAAGAAAAACAGGCGGAAGGGGAGGGGAGGAGGGCGAGAGGGAAAGGAAGGGGGAAGAATGGAAACGGCAACAGGAGAAGGAATGGAGGGGAGGAGGAGGAGGGAAACGTCCGAAGCCTGAAGCCGAAACCCGTCAAGACACACAGAGACACACGGAGGCACATCGGAGACGCATCGGAGATACATGTGTCTCCTGCCCCCGGGCCCAGGAGACACATGTGTCTCCGGCCCCGGGCCCGGGGGGCACATGTGTCTCCGGCCCCCGGGTCAGGTCGGGCCCCGGGTCAGGAGACACACGGAGACACCGCAGTTGGCTGCTAGCTGCTGTGCCAGTAAAGTCCGCCGCCCAAACCCTGCACCCCTTGCCTGTGCTTGCGAGCATGGCGGCCGTGGAGGAGAACGCTGTGGTGGCGCCCCTCGAAGGACACGTGCAGTGCTCCAAGTACAGCTGCGCCTTCCCGCTTCACGTCTTGGTCCAGGAAGGCAAGCACACGAACCTGTGCAACCTCTGCCACCGCCTCCACACGCTCCTGACACGACACCTGGGCGGCGCTTTCCTGAGCAAGCTTCAAGGAGCCACTCCCGCGGAGAAGCACGCGTTCTTGTCCGACCTCTGCAAGAAGCACGAGGCCGACGGGAACCTCAGCTACCAGAGAGTTCGCGACACTGTGACTGCACGCACGGTGTCACGTACGGTCACAGAGCACAGCAACACCCTGGGAGGAGAGTTCTTGCCGCTCTCCGTCTACAAAACAGGAGCTACTCGCCAGAGCATGTCCAGAACATCGAAAGGAACTGCGAAGCCGAGCGTGACGAAGGACGGCATCGACAAGCAGGCCGAGGAGCTGCCGGAGGAGCCGGACAACTGCGTGGACTTGCTGTCGGACGAGGACGTGAAGGAGGAGCTCGTGCAGCGTGGCAAGAAGCAGAAGAACCCTAAACCCTTATAAACCCGAAATCCTAAACCCCTATGAACCCTAAACCCCGAACCCCAAACCATTCCCCTAAACCTTATAAAAGCCAAACCGTTTGAAGGACGACGAGAAAGGCAGAAAAGAGCGAAGCTTGCAGAAAAGAAGAAGAGTTTTTTTCCTCACGCACCTTTTTCCTGCCCACTTCGTGCATCTGCGTGCCTGCTCGGCGGGTCTTACGTCTAGTCTAGACCTAGCACACCTACGGCTACGGCGCTGGGGCGCAATGGCTGCAGGCGGCTCGGCCCCTCGGCCTCTGCCAGGTCGAGGATGCGGTCGAGGGGCGGGCCTGTCGCGCGGGCTGCATGCGGCGGTAGCGGCCACGGCCTGCTGAGGGCTGTGCTCGTGACCGCTTGCTGTACGGCGACGGAAAGTATGCTCCACCATCGTCGTGCCCACCCTGAAGCTGCAGCAGCTCGCAGTGCCGGCGGCGCTTTGCACGCGCGCACCCGAACGAGGTCCCGGAGCAGGCCGTGCGCGTCGCCCTTGAAGCGTCCGCCAACCACACTGCCGAGCACGACGAGTCTCTGCGGCCCTTCGCTCCGGAGCTCCGGGTAGGTCGCGGCCTTGCGTCGCTCTGCTGTCCGGAGGGCGGCGCCAGTGTGGCATCGCAGCAGAGCGCTGTGCCGTTAGTCGTGGCCCCGTAAATGACCACATCGAGGCGGCGCCGATCATCCGCGCGCACACCGGGCGCTGTGGTGTGCACCAGCCATTGCTGTGGCACTACTTGGCCTTCGGCACCCACGGCTTCTCGCGCTACGCGCGACCCCCGCATGTTCGAGCGTCTTAGCTCTCCGCGCGAGAAGTCCGGTGCGCGGGCAAGCGAGAGCGTGGTCACCGAACCGGTCGACTTGCCCGCCACAGCCGTGCGTCGGTCCGCATCTGGCGTGGCTGATGGGGAGCGGCATGCGCAAGCGGCGGCGTAGCGCCAGCTGCATGGCTTGCGGCGTGAGCGTGGTGGCCGGCTCTGCGGGTATGGCAGTCAGCCACGACCCTGCATGAGGTCCTGCTTGCGAGCGCACCAAGGCCCGGGCGTTTGGCGTCATAGCCGGCAGTAGCACGATGTCGCGAAAGTATTGGTTTCGGGTGCGCGACGCGTAAAACTGCCATCCATGCGGCCAGTCGCCGGGGCCGGCGTGCTTTGGTGGGACCGGGCGGGCTCCTTGGAGGATTGCTCGCCAGCTTGGGCAGGCCTCCCAGCCTTCTGCCTGCAGCAGCTCGCGGGAGTCGGCGGCGGCGCGCAAGCTGGGGACGTCTCCTGCGCCAGATTCCAGCGCTGCCTGGTAGCGTTCGGCGAATGCGGGGAGTCGGGCCTGGATGACCGGCAAGGCATCCGCCAGACCTGCCCAGTATGCTGCCGGGCTGGCGC